AGCTATACAAAATCACAAAATAAAATACCACAGGGTTTATGGGGAACCGGGGTCAGAGGAACAAATCGCAAAAACTGCATCAGTGACACACCAAAAAAAAAAAAAAGTGAAAATGGCAGCAAATCAGTTTTACACGTGCTAAATGGTTCAGAAATACATAAATACTATACAAATATGGCATTTTCTCCCCCAAAAGACTGCAGTTTGCCTGTGGGTTTCAGGAGGATGGGTCAATGAAATCATGCATAAGCAAGTGTTATGCCCAATTTGAGTTACGCTCAAACTGTTCCCTAATACATCAATCACATTGGAGCTAAAATCACATTACAACAGAAGGCAGCCTGTGGGTCCATGCTTGGATACCATATGAATATCCTGATTCTTCCCAATCCTTCTCTTCCTGGTTACAGCATCCAATGGTCCTTCCTGCCTGAGTCAGTGATTTCAATGACAGTTGCAAAGCAGTGATTTTCAAATTCCATCAGTCCTTCTAGATTTATAAGCTCACAATCTATGCAACTAGCTCTTCCACTTCTATACAGAGGGTGATCTGTGTTACCTCTTTCCACTACACATGAGTCTAATCCATTTTCTCTCTATCCTTCCAATGTTTTAAAACCATGATTTTAGGTTTTCTCAGTCTTCCTGTCTCCCAGTTACAAATCCCCATTTCTTTATTTCTCATATCACATGCTTTGAAATTCCTTTACCATGCTGGTCACTATCTTTTGAATAAGCTCCAATTTGCATCCAGTAAATATAATTTTCCAAGTGGGGTCTTATTGAGTAGATTGAGACAATTGCCTCCTTCACTCTGGACGTTATGGTGATAGTGATGCAGCTGGAGGTCAGCATAGCTTTGCTAAGGTCACATCTCACTGTTGGCTCATATTTTCACTAAAATTGCTGAGCTAAATTTCCTCCAACCACACTTGTCTGATTTTTTTTTAAACTAGGATCAAGAACTTACTGTGTTCAATGCCATTTTAGTAAATTCAACCCAATTGTCCAAATTTTCTATTCAGTTTTATATACTAGCTATAAATCCAAGGGGTTCTATTTTTTTATCCAAGTCATTAACAAATTTGATCAGCAAAGGGCTGAGGACAAAGCTTGCCCTAGATTACAATCATCTGACATTTCTTGATTATAATCATTCATCCAGAGTTCAATCTATCAAACTGTCCTTGCCTCGAGCTAACATTTCTCCATCGAATCTTCAAAGATATCACATGAGGACCTTGTCAAATGCTTTGCTGAAGTCCAAATACTCTGGGTCTGCAGGGTGGCCCTTAATGACCCCTTTAGTCACACTTTTTAAGAAAGAAATAAGGTTAGTGTGACATCACTTGTCATTAGTGAAACCATGCCATAGCCTCATGATGCTGGTTTCCTTTCCAAGGGGTTCATAAGCTACTGAATATCAAGCAACTCATTCATCAAAGTAACAAAAGAAGATGTTTTTAAAAAGTAAATATGGAATACATTTAGGGAGAATTATCTTGAAATTCAGATAAAATATGAAGTTATAATACTTGCTTATTTAAAATTCCTTAAAGTTTCTTTCGTGCTTTCTGACCATGAATTAATTTTGTAGAAGCATGAAAATATGGCAAAAAGTGTGATTAATTTTAAAAGAAAGTTTTTCATATTTAGTGTATGTTTAGTGCATAATACAGTGCATATTTTTGATGCATTGTAATAAGTTTAATTTTTATATATTTTAACATGTCATTATTTTCAAGGGTTTGCAATATTCTAAAGGAAAAAAAAATGTTGAAGTCAGTCCTATTTGTGAAACCTGCTTTTAAAATTTTAACATCATGAGCTTGTGACACCAGCTGTGTGGCCTCATTAAATAACTTTCCCACATTAACAGCTTTTTGCAATGTTTGATAGGTCTATAAATCTATCCAGAGAGAGAAGGAATCAGTCAGTTAACAGGTCCAACCAAAGGGACCAATCAGTAATTTTGTGGCAGACAATCCTGAAAATAAATTGATGTGTGTTAAAAGTTTAGCATTGCTGTTGTATTCTGGAGTGAAAATTCATGCAGTAAAACTGACATAATGTTACTTCATAAAATTAAACACGAGTGAGAAGAAGTCCAGTGACTATTTTTGTATAGACTTAGTACACTAAAGATGTGTTTCTGGCAATAAATTTTCCTAGACCTAGAACAACACCATCATCGTCTTTGAATTCAAGTAGGAAAATCACTTAGTGCAACACCCAGAATTTCTCTTGTGAGTTAGCACTGTTGAAAACCAACAGAGTGAGGTATAAGGTTGAAACTGTAGAGAAATATAAACATACTCTAACTGATGCACTTAAATGTGTGTTCTGTTTATTTTAAGATATTAAGATAGTTAAAGAGCTAATATGCATGCTTAAGTTATCGGGAATTGAAAGTGAATATATAAATAACTTTATATTAAAGTTGGACTCCAACACTAGGCATCTAATCCAAGAAAACTAATATGTTTAATATTATCACAGTATGTGAAAGGCTCATTTAAGTGTTAAAAAATAGAAAATACTGGCGCCCCTGGGTGGCTCAGTTGGTTAAGCATCCAACTCTTGATTTTGGCTCAGGCTGTGATCTCAGGGTCGTGAGATCGAGCCCTGTGACAGGCTTTGGGCTGGGCACAGAAACTGCTTAAGACTCTCTCTCCCTCTCCCTCTGCCCCCATAACCGCCCCCCACTCTCTCTAAAATAAATAAACAAAACTTAAAAAAAAGAAAATATTGAAGTCCATTTCAAATGGAATAGAAAAATAATCCTATTTTTAAAAGGATAATTTAATTACTTTGTTTTCCTGAAAAGATAATTAATACTTTGCCTTTAATTAATTTGAATTTCACTAGGAATCACGGATCTAAATGTTACTTGGTAGTTTTCATCTTCTATTGAAACACTGATTTTTTTCCTTGAAATATCCAATAATTGTCACATTAGGCAAGGAATAAAATTCATAAGACAAATGATTCCTTCCTTTCTTTCCACATTGAAAACAGAAATTATTGTCTGTTTTTTTCAGTGATTTTTAAAAATCTTGGTAATCACTATGATTATTAGTGTTAGTGCTTATTATGCTAACCCATATTTTAGGGAATTATAGAATACGTACCATACAAATGAAATCAACTCGTTAATAGTAAATTATACAAAATACATCTTACTATGGAAGGTTCGATGTTAAGTTCAGATGGCTTTCTTATGAATTTATTTATTTCTCTCCCTTTCTCTCATCCCATCTAAACAAATTCTATTAATTACAAATTTAGCTCTGGCTCAGGAAATTACTGACCATACTTTTCATCTGTTTGTAGTGAGTTCCCCAGGGCTATGAAATTAGTGGGATAGAACATTGTCCTGGTTCTGTGCCAATTACTTTTAAAATAAACATCTTTGAACTAAAATGAGCATTGTGCCAATTTTTGTATATGATTTAGAAAATGATTTTTAAAATTAGAAGAAAGTCTTGGCTTAGTTTCTATAATGGTCTAACATTATCCAAGTCCATTATCCTCTTCAGATTGATGAGTTCCATTGTGGATGACATTTAATTAAATAAGATAATGCATATCTTATTAATATGAATGTTCTTATTTATCTCTTAAGAGGGAGTTTGCATAGTAAAGAAAGTCACATTTTAATGGTTACATTAAATAATATTTTTCAGGTTGGGGAATATAAAAAGCTGAAGTGTAACTGGTTTCCAAATATTTATTGTGTTATACACAGTTCGTTTCACAAACTGATATATTAAGATTCAATGTTTTTCTTTCTTTCATTCCTTTTTGACATAAATGAAATGTCTTGTGATTCTTAGATATATTGGTCATGTTTATCATACTTATATGTTCAAAAATAAACTTTTTTAATTTTCTAATATAAAAATATTCAGGTACAATCCACAATATCATATGGTCCATAAAAGCAAAGGCATTCACAGAAAAGAAAATTCTGACATAATTTGTTCTGAATGTTATTACCCAGTGTCATATCACATTTTCTATCTGAGATGGATATCAAACAATGAATATGCTCTATGCACTAGAATTGGAACTTTGAAGAATAAATTCCAAACTAAGAAAGAAAATAGGAATGTAGCCACTTCTAAAGCATTAAAAAAAAAAAAAAAAAGACTAATTAGGACCCTTTGTTTCACACACATACATAAAGGACATGTGTGACATAATAATGAGTTTCAAATACGTAAAAAAGATTCTATAAGGAGAAATGGAAACTTGTCTGTGTTTGCAATGAATGTCACAATCAGAAATGAGTCCATGAGGAAGAGTTGTGACTGGCCCAATAAAAGGTCTTTATCTTTCACTGATAAAACACTGGATAACAGCAGGTTGCTTACTAGAAGTAGTTTAATAGAAGAATAGATAACACCTATTTTCTGACCAATTTAAACATTCATAAACTAAAGAGAAAGAGAGAGAAAGAATGGCATTAATATGGATAAGCAAAATGCACAGGTCATTTAAAATTTATAAGTTAATGATTTTTTAAATATTTTCACAAAACCTAATAACTACCATAAAATAGCTTGAGAAATAACAAAAACAGTTAATTTGAATTCTGTTTCAATTTCCAAATCCTAGCCTCTGTGAGGATGCTTATGGCCTCAAAGCAGGCATCCAGATTGACATTAATTAATTATGTTCTCAAAGAGAATACCATTCCACAGTGTTATTTCTAAGATATTTTAAGAGGTAATGAGGCTCTGAAATCATAGTTGAAATGGCATTAATAAAGAAGTAAGAAAGTATTTTAACATGTAGGGGAGACAAAAGGGAAGCTAAGTAGGGCAGATAAAAGAATGGTGGTATAAATATGTGGGGATTTTACTAGAGATGCAGAACCACTACATATATTCTTTGTTATAGAAATATGGGCATGTTATAAGGATTGACCTTGCACAATCGCAGGAGCTGGTTAGGTGGTCTCTGTAAGGTCTTTCTATCTGCTGTTTGGTCTTCAGTCTGCAAAAAGTGTCAGGGAAGCTGGAACTCAGGAGCGCGAGCTGGAGCCCACAAAGACAGACTGGAACCTGGTAAGTGCCTATCCCTGTACGCTGCTGACTCCATGTCCTTCAGGGGAAGCTGGAGCCTCTCACCTTTGAGCTAAACACACACCTGGCCCAGGCATCAGAGAAGGGAAAAGAGGGTGTGCAATATGGCCTGTACCAACAAGGGGAGCCGGCAGGTAAATGAAACAAAATGGGTGAGCTGTCCCAACACCTGTGCCTCTCCACTGATCTCCTGAGCATCAGAATAATACAACTGCAACTTCACTTCCTTTTTTCAAATGTCTTTGTAGCTCCCCCCCCACTCCCCCTCCCCGACTAGAAATATACAGGGACCAGAATTCTGAGAAATGTTGTCCAGCCTAGCCAAGTGAGCATACTGCCAGGCCACCAGAGTATGCTTAGGGATTATCCAGAAAATGAAATGACAGCCTAGTTCTAAAATGTATGCTCCAACAAAACTTCTCCAAGCTACAAACCTGAATTGCATCCATTTATTTGCATGCTGTGCAAAAAAGAGGTGCTACATCAGAGTGCTGGCAGAAACAGAAGGCAGACCCAAAGGGTTTAACCAAAAAAAAAAAAAAAAAAGCTTAAAGAAGAGAGGGTACACAGAGTGGTGAGCAGAGCTAAGGATGCACAAGGGATGATGACAGCCGGGACGCAGCAGCTACACAGAGCCATTACCACCCAAAGTTGCCCGGAGAGGCAAGAGGAGGGAACAGCCCCGGTGGGAGAGGTAGGGGGCTAGAAGCATCTCCTGAAACCTCACTCCAAGGAAGGCAGTCTCTGTCTAAACTGTAGCACTGGGAGGAGGGAGCCAGGGACAAGCATCCTGGCTTCTCTCTGCTCTGGGTCTCCACTCGCAGGCGTTTTCCCAATGGGGCTGGACCTGCCAGGACCCCAGCGGGCAAGGAAGCCCGGTGGATGCTCAGGGCAGGCAGCCTCTTAGCACACAGCACGGAACACAGAAGGCTGGACAATGGATTTCCGGGAAAACAGAGTCAGCGGCAGGCCATCATTCTAAACCAAAATGAGCCTCTTCACAAGCAGTAGATGTTTTTAAATGACTTTTGCAGACCCTACCGAAGACGTTACAAGCCAATAATAGAATCGTATAAATATTACTAAGGGTGACACATTTCGGGGAAATACTAAATTACTCAAAAGGTAGATGTCCCTCAGAGTCTTTCTACCTATTATGGTGTGTTTTATTTCCCATTTAATGTCATGCTCCCCAAGGCACCAGGACACTTGGGGACCAAGTGCAGACCCCGACAGGTGCCCCCCACTCCATTGGGTGTATGTACATCTCACCAACTGCTGGATCCCCTCTTCCTTCCCCAAATCTGTCCACCCCCAGCATCAAGCCAGCAAGCCTCACATGCACTGCAGAGAAGTAGATGCAGCATCTCTCCTGCACGTGGGCCCGCTGCTCCTACCCAAGGATGTTGCAGCTTCACTGAGGGACTCCCAAAGAACCTGGAACCAGGGAGCTTTGACAGAGTGAAAGTCAATTGTTAAGGGACATTTTGGCCATTTCCTCAGGAATGCCCTGGGACAACCCGTGGCCCTATGTAGGAAGAACCTTCTGTTTAGATCTATCCTTTTCTGCTTCCTCAACTTTTGTGTGTGTATGTGGTTGGCCTGTCCTCAACCTATCTAAAAGTTAAGCCTACTTCTCTGTACCACCTAGAAATAAAGACTTAAGTACCCCCCAGCCATCTGTTGGGAATAAAATGTTTATCTCGCTGCCACTCAATATTTAGCAGAGACTCAGCTGAGAGATACTCTATTTACAGTGGGGAACCTATCAGGAACCCACTGAGTCCTGTGGCAAGGAGAGCTAAGTGCTTGGACTGCTATTGTTTACTCCACCATCCCTGTAGAACTGTTTTCAAACACAACTGAACCTGAAAACAGTCAATGACAGAAGGAAATCTGAATCACACTGATGTTTCCTTAATAGCTCCCTAGGTCTTTGGTTGCTTTCTCTTTCCAAGTTAAGTCCTGGAGTTGCCAGATCTTTCCTGAGTTTACGCGCACTCAGCAACATTGTAGAGGAAGGATCTGTTAGAAGACCGTTTCAAAAGCTCTCAGTCAAAATTACTTATTTTTAATAGATGTTGGTTTGCTCTTGGAATGAAGTATACACTATGTGCCCACGGAAAGGTAATATTTAAATTGGTGTTTCTTGATAGGCGCTCATTTATTTCCTTATATAATGAAGACTTGTCTTTTGCCAAGTGCTTTTCCTAAGCTGGTGCACAGCCTCTTCTATTTCTGGGTCTCATTTGAAGTCATACTTTTTCAAGATGACAACCTAGAGGTAATGAAGGGAGAGGGGAAATATGTGCACAGTTGGCTGACTTAGCATATTTATCTTGTGATACTTATTAATAGATAGTTAAAAGTTAACTCTACCTTCCCAGCTCCTCTTGATCAGAAGTTTAGGAATGAGATAACATTGAAAACTAGTTTGCTCCCCGCACTCCCTTTATCATGTAAATATTACATAGCTTCTTCTTTGCAAAATATGGTTACCATGGACATGGCAAGGTGATTATCCTGGTGTCAACAGTAAAGAGAGAACGGGGAAGACAGATGAGACCAAGAACATGCTCAGGGCATGCAGCTTCTTTTTATGAGGACATAAGTTTAAGAGATTAAGCAGTTTATATATTTTGAACACTCACAAGTGGATGTTGAATGTTCTTTTCTTTTCTTTTCTTTTTTTTTTAAGATTTTATTTATCTATTTGACAGAGAGAGAGACAGAGAGAGAGGTAACACAAGCAGGGGGAGTGGGAGAGGGAGAAGCAGGCTTCCTGCCGAGCAGGGAGCCTGATGCAGGGCTTCATCCCAGGACCCTTAGGATCATGACCTGAGCCGAAGGCAGACGCTTAACAACTGAGCCACCCAGGTGCCCCAAATGTTATTTTCTTAAAATGTTAGTACTTCATTAGGTTATTTAAATCAAACCTCCAGTCTTATTACAAATTAAATCATAATAAGCCAGGTTTAAATGAATGAAGAAGAGAGGTAAATCAGGGTAAAAGAATACGTTTCCTTCACAAAAAAATTTTTGGTGAAAAGAGCACTGACGAATCTTTATTATAAAATATTTGATTATTATCGGCTTCTGATTAAGTTCAAATACATGCAAAGGTTTGGTGGTTAAAAAATAATGATCAGTATTCTCTGCTCAATGTTGCTGTGAACCTAAAACTGCTCTAAAAATAGTCTATTCAAAATTCTGAAAAATAAAATAAAAGACTAAAAACGTGGACAAAAATACATGGGCACACTCACGTACCTGTTGGCCATCTAGAGGTCCCATTCATCCCCATGCTGAGCATCACAGGTCACTTTCTTTAAGTGGTAAAGGCATAGTGTGTAATGGTTAAGGAGGCATGCTAACCCAGATGATGTGAGTTAAAATCCTGATTTTGTCACTTACAGCTGCATGACACCAGCAAGTTATTTTCCTTATTTGTAAAATGGGGTATATTAGTTCTCTACTACTACATAACAAATCACCCCAAAACTTAGTGATTTAAAACAATAAACACATCATATTATTTCAGTTTCTTTGGGCCAAGAACTCAGAAATAGTTTGGTTGGGTGGATCTGGTGTGGGGTCTCTTCTGATTTTGAAGGCAAGACATGGGCTGGGCTGCAGGTCCTTTGAAGGGTGATGTGGGGCTAGGGTTTCCAAGATAGCTCACTCATGTGGTGCTTGCTGTCGGCAGGAGGCCTCAGTTCTTCCCCACGTGGGCTTCTTGGTGGGCAGCTTGGATCTCCTCACAAGATGGTGATGATTTAGCAAGACTCTCCCCACCCTGCCTGACTCCACTTAGTAATTTTCCATCACTTCCCTTCACTTTGCCTGTGGGCTGTAAATCCTCAGCTGTCTCTAGTGTTCAGAGGGAAGCCAGTTTCTCTCCGCTGTTACAATAGTCTTGACATGGATCACAAGAAAGTCCCCCTTACTGTCTTAACAAGCATCAGAATAATTTTTTTCTTTAACACCTCTAGGGCAGGGTCCTTTGTAAGTTATCTGGTTCCAGCTCTGCTACAGGCCCACAGAACCCACAGGTGGCTCCCATACCCTTGGCCACCACACTCCAGGGGTGCTGTGGGTCTTTTGTTCTGTTTTGCTGCTGGGTCTGACAGCTCTAGCATGTCTATATTCTTCAGCATATTCATGTGTGAACCTGACATCAGGCCCTCAACAACCCCTACCAAGACCATAGATCAGGCTGTCTGGTTTTCTTGCAGCTTGTCATCATTTGGCTTTAAATGGGGAGGAAACAACTCCTTTTTTCCCTCATTGAAGTACAGGTCACACTGCCTCTTTTCTTTTGTACCCTGAAGCTGGGTAGGTTGGTTAATTCAGGCAAAACAGGTTTGGGGCCACTCCTTTTGCAAGTCTGGCATAGATTAGCACCTAATGTGAGGGTACTTAGCACCCATTGTTCCCAACCTCTACCAAAATTCAAAGGAACCAAAGGGACATGAAAATGGATCCTGGCGGGAAACCGTTCGCTGAAAACATTTTTACACTTCCTTCAAAGAGAGTGCCTTTTGATCTCAAGTCCTTTGACCGGCCTCTGCTGAGATGTGACTCAGGATAGGAAATTTTACACATACCAATAACCAAAGGTATGTTCGTTATTGTTATGCAACAAGATGTCTGCATGACCAATATTTTCCCTTGCCTGCGCACACATCTCCTTTTCAAATAAGTCTGCTGTTAATTGAAAAGAGCAAAATTACTTCTATGTAAATTATTATTAGTGTAAATGCTCTACTAAGCATTGACTAGAGGCCTTATGTATTACTACTGACATTCTAAGTATTTGCCTTGGGTTGCTTGCTAGGAGATATAACACTTTTTTTTTTTTTTTTTTTTACAGTTCCAGTGTCTGCCCCTTGCAGTATTTTCTCTGAGATAAATCCGACTTTCTGCACCTTTAAGGTATTCTGTAACCTGTGCCTAGTTTCATTCTCAAGAATGTAGTTGAATAGTAAATTCTAAGACAGCTATCCTAAAATTGTTGCCAATACAGCGGTTTTTAACTTTTGGAGGTGATCAGTATATGCCACCCTAAGATATGCCACTCTGACATATTGCTAGATGCTTTTGAGCTGAAGGTAATTGGAAAGGGCGGACCAGGAAGAGCTCTTTGCCCTCCTCCTTTCTGCCTCAAAGCAGGGCACATGTTCCCTCTGTGAAGGTGATACACATTTCCATTTGTAGGCTGTTCCTCCCAGGAGGATCAGAGAGGCACTGAGATGAGAGGATAGGAGAGTGAGTCTGTGTAACAAACCTTACTCTCAATTACTGTGCATTTCCTAGTCCCCTTCCCACAATTTATTGCCCCGAGCCCAGTCCCTGCCTAGTTACTTCTCTACAATTTATTGCCCTTTCTTAAAATTATATATTTATAGCCCAACTCTAAATGCTTCTTTGGGTTTTTACTTTTTTTTGAGAGAGAGAGAGAGAGAGCACAGGCGCACTTGAGTGGGGAGGAAGAAGGAGGGGAAGAAGGAGAGGAGAGATAGGGAGACCCCAAGCCAGCTCCACGCCCAGCACAGAGCCCAACACAGGGCTCCATCTCAAGAACCTGACATCATGACCTGAGAAGAAATCAACAGTTGGCTGCTTAACCAACTGAGCCACCCAGGTGCCCCTGGGTTTCTACTTCTTTTCTACGAAGCTCCTATACCCTTAAAGATATTAACATCAATTAAAAATATATATATATATGCCTTTTTGCCTGTTATTCTGTCTTCTGTCAGTTTAATTTGCAGGATTATAATTTAAGAGGTCAGAAGAGAAGTTTTTCTTCTTTTACCCTTTGGGCTTATATCCTTTGAAGAAATAGCGGAAACACAAAAGTTCTGGTAAGGAATTAGGCTTTTATTGATGGGGTTCAGGACATCCTACCCCAAAATATGGCACCTTGACATACTGAATATTTGAAGCTGAAGGAATTTGAGAAAAGGCATGTGCAGGAAGGAGTTTCTGAGCTTCGCCCAAAGCAGGTCATAAAACACGAGAAAGACTTCCTGACCTACATGTGAAGCAGGTGAGAGGTGTCCTCCCTTGTTATCTCCAAAGATAAAAGGACACTGAGAGGAGTCTGAACACCTTGCTAAGTTTCCTCCAGTTGGCTACACTCAAACTCTTCGTCCTCTGGTATCTTGCCATGACTTTTCACTATCCCTCATACTCAGTATGAAAACACTCAGGTTTCAGCAATTCATCACATCTTCATTTCCTTATGAAGACCCCCATGTTGCATAAACTATATATTAAATAAATTTGCTTTATTTGTTTAAAGGGAGTCATATTAGCCCGAATTCAAGGGGAGGACAGGGTCAAAGAGTTTCTGGATGTGTTTTATAATCACCAAAACTCCTTCATCTTGCTCTTAACTTAGTTGTACTCTCTATTAAACTCCTAAGGCCGATCACATCAATTCCGTTTACTTCCATGACCTCCATCCCAGTCCAAACTGCCGTCACCCTTCACCTGGACTCCTACTCTTCTTGCTTCTCACCTTGTCCAGAGAAAATCCGTTCTCCATGCAGCAACGAGACAGTTTGCACCAAACCCTGACTAAATCCCCTTGTTACTTCCTATCACTCTTAGAATAAAACTAAAGCTCCCTACCTATAGGGCTGAAATGATTTGCACCCCCCCATTTCACCTTCGTCTTCTACCTACCCATTACCATGTTCTAGCCACACCAGTCTTCTTTCTTCCTCAAATATGCCAAATCCTGTCACACCTTGGAGATTTTCCCAGAAGGCTTCCCTGCCTAGACCTTCACATTTTTTCTCCTCCTCATCCTTCAAGTTTCAGAGCAAGGATGACTTCCTCAGAGCGGCCCTCCTGGATTGACTCTTTTTTTTTTTTTTTAAAGATTTTATTTATTTTTTGACAGAGAGACAGCGAGAGAGGGAACACAAGCAGGGGGAGTGGGAAAGGGAGAAGCAGGCTTCCCGCTGAGCAGGGAGCCCGATGTGGGGCTCGATCCCAGGATCCTGAAATCATGACCTGAGCCGAAGGTAGTCACTTAATCAACGAAGCCACCCAGGTGCCCCCCTGGATTGACTCATACAAGTGCATCCAACCCTCCCCCAGTTACTATCTATCCTATCACCCATTTTATTTCCTTTGTAGCACATTTGTAATCTAGAATTTTCTGTTCATGTGCTTAGTTATTTAGTGTCAACTCTTCCTTCCCCTCTCTTCCCCCATTCCCACTAAATTAAACCATTTAAAGGCACTTTTAACTCCTTATTCCTTATCCACCACACCAAGAACTATGCCTAGAATACAGTGGATGCTCAATTAATGTTTGCTGAAATATCCCCTGTACCGAGAGCTACAACTGGAACATAGTATATGTCCTGGGACATAGATGTTCAACAAATACTTGTTGGATATTGAATGAGTGGAAGCTGCCATCTTGCTCCACGCAGCTCACCAGTCTCCATGATTGGGTCTCTGCCTTCTTGAATGAGAGTGTGTGTTTATACCCTGATTTCTCTCATGCAAGAATCTGTCAGTGGAATAGGGCCTACCCGAATCCAGTATGATCTCATTTTAAATTGATTACATCGGCAAAGACCCCATTTCCATATAAGTCACATTCACAGGTATGGGGGTTAGGACTTCAGCATATCTTTTGGGGAATATATTCAACCCACACCAGTACCTAACACCATACTTACACTGGGGGCTCCCAGTACCTAACACATTCCCAGTACCTAACACAGTACTTATTCTGGGGAAATTTTCTTTTCAATTTCGACTTTTCTCGGACCCCTACTTTAGTTTCCCTGTTTAGATTGGAAGTCAGCCCTGAGTCTAGGCATTTCACTTATCCAAGGCTCTGGTATCATGTGGGTCCTCCAAAGCCCTTCCTCCTGAGGGCTGAGTCCTGATGTGTTCATTGAACCCTGTGATTCCCAGTTTCTACTCATTCCTCAGGAGCCTACCACTAACAGACTAGGATAGCTTTCACATGACATATAGCATATCAGAGCACTAGGAAGATTAAAATTCATTCTAGTTATATAATTAAATTGTATTACAAGCTTTTTTGTTGGGTAGAGGAGATAATCTGGAAATCTAATGACCATTTATAACATCGCATTTTTCCTTAGAAACACTAAATTGTATTGAATTTATAAATTACAAATAAGCTCTTAGAATGGAATTGCATGGGTAAATTGGGGAACACCTAGATATAAAAAGTTAAAAATGATGCAATAATCAAATAACAATATGATAGTAATATATAGATCACAGGGTAATGACACCTAAAAGTGCTATTGCTTCTAGAAAGGTATTTGTACTTTAATAACTCCAAATCTAAAGAAACGAAGTTCTAATACAGAATATTAGTCAATGTCATAGGAGGCACCGTATTTTTTTTCTTTTTTATGGTTTGCCAGGAATTTCTAATGCTTTAGAATCACAAACATATGTAGAAGTTTATTTTTCTGTAAATGTTGGCCCTAGCTTTTGAATCCAGTGAGCCAACAACTCACTTTGTCTTGCCATAGAAAGGGGATTCTCTAAGAGATGGGATTCTGCACAGCTAGCAGGTCACCCGAGGAGTGATGGCAGTTCCAGACTACCCTGAGCAGGCCATAGGATTTCTGGCTCTCTGCCTACTGTAGGGAAGAATTCTAGTACATTCTTCCATTGTTGGCTTAATGGGGGCAGAGGTGTATACAGGGTGATTCTTTGTATTGGACATACCTCCTAAATTTCTAGGAGAGGCAAATTCATGCCATCAACTCCTCATAATAATGGGTATTTGCTAAATTTTTTCGCACTAAATCAACAGGATTACCTTACACAGTGAAAGATTCCTAAGTGGTCAGAGGGGCTCTGGATCCTGGAAGTGGAGAGGGAGGAAAAGAGTGAGGTATTTCTTTAAGTTGTCTACAAATAGGAATCTTTGATCTGAAATAGAGAATCATGTGAAGCTAAGCCTGATGTGCCATGGACTCATTATATAAGAACAGTGTTTTGTTGCAGTGCTGCTTTTCTGACTCAACAGGTACCCACATACCTTCTGCCAGGTCTTAAAAATCCTCAGAGCTCATTGTTCTGGGAGGTAGGCATCATTCCTTTGACTTCAGCCCATTTGCAGCTAGCAGAATCTAGCTTCTGATTAAAATAGCACAGACATTTTCCCAGAAAGCAGGTATTTGTCACTTCCCAAAGGACAAACCAGCTACCCTATATCTTGAAGTGGATCTTTAGAAGGGTTTTGAAAGCCCATTTATCACTGGGCTATTCTCAAATAGATGGAGAGAGGAATGGAATATTCATATTTACTTATCAAACATTTCTTGAGTCTCTATTGTGTGAAAAATCTTTACTCAAGGCACTAACTAGTAGCATAATGCAATGATGAATAAGACAAAGCATCTTTGGGGGGCTCCTGGGTGGCTTAGTCAGTTAAATGTCTGCCTTGGCTCAGGTCATGATCCCCAGGTCCTGGGATGGAGCCCCTCATCAGGTGCCCTGCTCAGTGGAGAGCCTGCTTCTCCCTCTCCCTATGCTGCTCCCCCAGCTCGTGTTCTCTCTCTCTCTCAAATAAATAAATAAAATCTTAAAAAAAAAAAAAAAAAGACAAGGGGTGCCTGGGTGGCTCAGTCTGTTAAGCATCTGACTTTAGTTCAGATTATGATCCCAGGGTCTTGGAATTGAGCCCCGCATCAGGCGCCCTGCTCAGCAGGGAGCCTGCTTCTCCCTCTCCCTCTGCCTGCCACTCCCCCCTGCTTGTGCTCTCTCTCTCTGTCAAATGAATAAATAAAATCTGAAGAAAAAAAAAAAAGACAAAGCATCAGCATTCAAAGAGGAGAGAGAATTTGCAATTTAGGGGAAGTGCTCTAACAGAGGTTGAACCCAAGGCGGGGTTTCTAAATAGGATGACGTCACTTCTGACTGGCCAGATCTGCACCTTGACTGATGATGAGAAAGATCTTCAATAAACAGAAATAATCAGAAGGTAGGGGCAGGTGAAATGGAAGAACATTCTTGGCAGAGAGAAGAGCATGAGTTAAGGCACAGGGCTGGACCTATCTGGAGACGGAGTTGCCCAGTGTGACCTAGCAAAGTGTGATATAAAGAAGTGGATCAGGGCACCTGGGTGGCTCAGATGGTTAAGCGTCTGCCTTCGGCTCAGGTCATGATCCCAGGGTCCTGGGATCGAGTCCCGCATCGGGCTCTCTGCTCCTTGGGAGCCTGCTTCTCCCTCTGCCTCTCTCTCTCTCTCTCTGTCTCTCATGAATAAATAAATAAAATCTTAAAAAAAAAAAAAGTGGATCATGAGGCTGGAGAGGTAGGTTGGGTCCAATTCTGAAGGAGCTTTGATGTTGGGTAACTGAGTCACTATTTTACACCTTAGGAGGAAGTCAGGGTGAACAAGGAATTTATTATCTGAGCTGAAACAATTTTGAGATGACAAGTGGCACTGTGAACATTTGTGCCAAAACAACAGTTATAACGTGGTACCGGTCTGGGCAAACTGGGACCTATGGTCACACTGGTAACTGGGAGACTCTACAAGAGAAGCCTGAATTGGGAGGAGACTTCCAGAGAACAGCCACATGGGGCGGGTGGGCCTAGGAGTCCTGGATTCATTCCCCATGTACCACCCCAAAGTACCACAAACTGGGTGCTTAACACAACAGACATATATTCTTTCATGATTCTGAGAGCTTGAAGTATA